GTTTCTCTTCTAGGAAACCTCCCGTCTTCAATAGGCCACTCTCCAAGCTTCAAACTTCTTCGCCCGAACACGTCGGCTTCACACACGCAGCTGTTGCCACGCGTCCTCGCTCGATAGCGGTAGACACACGCTCTTGCCTGTAGCTCGAGCCTTCTCCCCTCAGGTGGAAATCCTCTTCATCTCCTGCTTCGTCCCTACGGACAAACCCTTCGCCGACTACACGGCGGGATCCCTATGCACTCTGGCGCTAAATTCCGTCTTCTCCTGCTCTCTCGTCTCGGCCGCTCGATTAAATACCTTCCGCGCGACATTCCAGAAAGTTCTTGTCATTTCGTCGGCGCGATACGCAGCGAAGGTTGGGGAGAGGCGCGAGACTGTACGGGGGCCGTCCCCGTCAGATGACTCATCCCGGCATACCCGCCCCTTTCCTTCTGGAAATTTCTAGCGCTTGCCCGGCCGCCGCTGTGGGGTGAGGAGGTTCATCGGCGAAGCCACGCTTCCGAGAGGAGAAGCGTCGCGCGCCCTGGGAGCCTTGGATGCTTGTTTTCTCTTTTCTTTTTTTTGACTTCGGCGCGTCTCTCCGGCGCGTTATCGCAAGAATTTGGCGGCGCGCCCGTTTTTAGCGCTCGTTCTGTGACACTGCCCCCCACTTTAAGAATATTATCTCATAATATTCAAAACCACACAAACGAGCGCGAACAGTCACCACACACTCAAAGACTGTAACATAGTCCGTCGCTCATGACACGTCACATTCGCAATAGTTCACTCAATACAATTGTACATTGTAATTCAATTCCACAACACATGAAATATAGCCACAGGTACATGACTACAACGCTTCATCACACATTCCAAACAATACAAACGTATAAAGTTCACTCCTTACCATAATTATACAACACTATACATCACATCACAGCACAGAACTTCGACACTTGTGACACAGGATAACACAACATTAACACAACATATGGCACTCAGCACTGCCAAACACATTCTGATTCGACCTCAGCACCTATCCTGTGTATTTCGAGCTGCGCTTGCGTCCTTTCTTGTGGTGCTCGCTCGATCTCTTCTTGTTTTTCCTTGTTCTTTTTCGGCGAGCCTTTTCCAACGACGGTATCTGAGGCAGCGTCTCAGCCATCGTTGTCACTTCTGACACTGTTAACGGGTGATAACACTCAACCGATCCTGTCACCCGCTTGTTCACGTCCCGACATTTGGCCTGGCTGGCCATCTCCGTCTCCTTTGTACTGTCGGTCGGTTGAGGTCGTGCCGACGTAAGTCCAGTTGCCCGGCCCGTGAACTCGTTCAACACGATCATCTTATCGTTCATAGTCTCTTGCACCGCGGCTTCACCTTGGGCTCGAGTGGGATCCGTCACGGGTTGCTTCTCCACTGTATCTCGCGGTCGTTGGGTTGGCGAGGGCTCTATCTTGAGGTCTTCTCCCAAACATTCCGGATCATTCGGTCCTCGCGCCCCGTCGATGTTTCCGATGACAAGGTCGTAAAGGGGGGTCGTCATACATAGAGCCCTAACCTTCCCGCTGAAGTATGGGGTTTCAACCTCAATCTCTGCTTCGGGAAGCATCCGAACTGTACGGTCAATTAAGCAAACCGGTTTCGTTTTGCCGGTTAACTCGCTTTCCCCTACCAAGTTTCTCCGCACGATAACAGTGGAGCGGCCGGTATCTCTTAACACCGTAATCTTTTTGCCCGCAACTTTTCCAGGCAGTGTTGGCCTTCCTTTCGTAACACCGGTTGGCTGTTTTGACATTACAGCACCCACAATAGGTATTTTCTCCCCATTCTTCAACTCTACGAATCCATCGGTGACGGCATTATTATCAGATTTCGGTGCCGCTTGCACACAAGATACCTGGTGAGTTTGACTCACTCCGTTCCGACAAGCGTCTGCTTTGTGCCCAGTCTGACCACACTTGAAACATTTTACTGCCGTAGGGCTCGTAAAGATCGTTCGACAGTTTTTCGCGCGATGACCCACTCGGTTGCACAAAAAACATCGTGGAATGCTCTCTGGTGCACGCTTCTTTTCTTCGGGAGCCAATTTCTTCGAATCATCGGGACAATCCTTCTTGACCTTGGCCAAATTAGTTCCACCTTGCGCTTCCAAGAATTGATCAGCCAATTCAAGCATTCCTTCAAGTGACTCAGCCTTCCTCTCTTTCAAGTACAGCGACAGGCTTGGGTGGCAACTAGTAAGAAATTGTTCTCTAATTAGGAGCTCTCTAAGTTCATCGTACTCCTGCGCTGTCCCTGAAAGTTCAATCCATCTGTCGAAATAATGGCTAAGTCGGGCGGCGTACTGTGTAGCCGTCTCACCATCAGCTGGCTTTCCTGTCCGAAATCTGTCCCGGAAACCTTCTACAGTAAATCTAAATCGCTTCAGCAAAGCAGCTTTCACCTTTGCATAGTTGGCTGCATCGGTCGGCGTCAGCCTACCGTACACACTGAGCGCTTCACCACTCAAGGAAGTACTCAAAGCAGTTGCCCATTGATGTTCCGGACAATTCTGGCTCCTTGCAATTGTCTCAAATCGGTGAAGGTACGCGTCAAGGTCGTCCTTCCTTTCATCAAATGCTACGAGCAGCTTGCTTGGGTTCAAGCGGAATCCGTGGTCCTCCCGTTCGCTGCTTTCAACTCTAGCTAGGACCGGAGTTTCACTTCGCTGTTGCAAACGGAGCCGCTCGAGTTCTATCTCGTGCTGTCGCTGCCGTTCCCTTTCCTCTCTTTCTTCTTTCGCCCTCTCAGCTGCCAGTCTTTCTCTCTCCAGCTCCAACTTCAATTGCTGCTCTCTTTCTTCTCTCGCCCTTTCGGCTGCCAACCTCTCTCGTTCCAACTCAGCTTCTTTTTCCGCTTTGGCTCTTTCGACCGCCAGTCTTTCTTTTTCTAGCTCAGCTGCCTTTTCTTCTTTGGCCCTCTCTTTTTCTTCTTTTTCCTTCTGGGTGACCCACTTCCGTAGTTCGGCACCAGAAAGACCCATCTTCTCACCAAGAGCGACTAACTTTTTGAGATCCATTGTGTCTCGCAACTCGCAAATAAAACCTTGCCGCGTGCAAAAAGTATCTGCCTAAAACAGTCTATCGGAACATTCCCCTGCACTCGTTAACGAGAACACTGAACAACACACAAAATCGTTCCGATAGTACTATCAACAACTCGAGGCTCTTTCTCACTACTTTGGACACACTGTGCACCAAAAGGTCCTGTCGCGGACGCCAGATTAATTGTCACACACAGGTCCCGTTAATTCGGGAAGCGATCGCCGGGCTAATTCCAAGGGCCGAAGTATTGGCCCTCTGAACCGCACCACGAAAGCGTGGACAATTTAGAAGTGGTCCTTTTTTGGCGCGCCAGCGGACGCCGGCTGTGGCCCAAAGAACAAGTCAGAGCCGAGAGTTGATAAACAAAACAAATACTATATTCTCAAAAATGGCAGATCGAAAACAAACTCAAGAATGCACACTCCACAATAGTTACATACAATACGTCACCAATCAAACAACGTACTACACAGTACAATCAACCACACTGGGAACAACGGACACAGACAACAATACGCACTACAATGCAGTCGCATGCATTGAACAACCAAGACACTTAAAGACTAAAGAGATAGAAAACCTATTCAGTCCAAAGTTCTTGGAACCAAAGTCTAGATGATACTCTTCCGAGAATCACTCACTCAAAGTCCAGAGTTGTTGTCGTTCCGCAGCCCTCGAAGTTTCTCTTCCAGGAAACCTCGCCGAAGTTTCTCTTCTAGGAAACCTCCCGTCTTCAATAGGCCACTCTCCAAGCTTCAAACTTCTTCGCCCGAACACGTCGGCTTCACACACGCAGCTGTTGCCACGCGTCCTCGCTCGATAGCGGTAGACACACGCTCTTGCCTGTAGCTCGAGCCTTCACCCCTCAGGTGGAAATCCTCTTCATCTCCTGCTTCGTCCCTACGGACAAACCCTTCGCCGACTACACGGCGGGATCCCTACGCACTCTGGCGCTAAATTCCGTCTTCTCCTGCTCTCTCGTCTCGGCCGCTCGATTAAATACCTTCCGCGCGACATTCCAGAAAGTTCTTGTCATTTCGTCAGCGCGATACGCAGCGAAGGTTGGGGAGAGGCGCGAGACTGTACGGGGGCCGTCCCCGACAGATGACTCATCCCGGCATACCCGCCCCTTTCCTTCTGGAAATTTCTAGCGCTTGCCCGGCCGCCGCTGTGGGGTGAGGAGGTTCATCGGCGAAGCCACGCTTCCGAGAGGAGAAGCGTCGCGCGCCCTGGGAGCCTTGGATGCTTGTTTTCTCTTTTCTTTTTTTTTTTGACTTCGGCGCGTCTCTCCGGCGCGTTATCGCAAGAATTTGGCGGCGCGCCCGTTTTAGCGCTCGTTCTGTGACACATACATACATACATACATACATACATACATACATACATACATACATACATACATACATACATACATACATACATACATACATACATACGACCCACGCCTTCAACAGCTTCACCGCTAAAACATGGACAATCTCCCTTAAGAGAACTCTGATGGGATGCGAAGCAGCAGCGTTGCACACGGGTGGCGTCACGGGTAGAACGGGGCTACCGTGGGTGCTGCGGTTAGCGCTGCAGGATTTAAAGCGATGGCTGGTGTATTCTTGTAGTTGACACCTACAACATGTTTCAACGCGTGCGTTAGGCACGCGTCTGGTATATTGCGCGTGAATCGGCGAGTCAGCGCTGTAGCAAGCGGCGATCGCGGCACATGTTGCCGGCCAACGGACGAGGCAGCAGCTGCGGACGCCCCAGCAATCACGCGGTAGGGGAGGGAGAGTGGCGTGACGTCAACGCGCAGCCGCTTGACCTACTTGGCACCGCGCCAACACTTGCGGCGCGCGGCACATTCGTACGAAGAGGCAGCGTTACACAGGCAAGTCAAAAAGCTTATTCGCATCTAATAGTTTTCAGGCACGGGTGACTTACCTTTTGTGATTCTTTACCGAATGGCATTGACTTGCCGTAAAACCGGTGTTCCGTAAATATGATCAGCGCTTTCAGCTCGGGCGCCCATTCCCATATGAGGCCCTGTTGGGGTAAAAAGAAAGGAAGTGTTACAATGTGGTGTTTTTTTAGGAAAGTGTTTATATATTAATTTAGGATGCTAAAAGAAATTCACTCATACTAACTTATTCTAGGGAACTCGGCGAGTACTTAATCTTGGTGGCTGATACACCGCGCAGTTGCGTGGTGTAAATATTTATGGATTTAGACATGACATCAAATCAGTTCAGCACAGTCCTGTAGTCATGAAATGACAAAAATGGCGAATTCCTGTTATGCACACTAAATCCGAACAAACGTAGTATTTTCCAGTGTGGAAGCTCTTAAAGTAACTTCAGAACTTCATCCCGAAGGCGCCACCTCCCCTCCTCTGCTTGCCCGCCTCGTAGTCACCCATGACTTCGGTCAAGCTCATTTTACGGCTCGAAGCCTCGCAGGAATGAAATGGTGGTGCATGGTGTCGATCGCAGCGGGGATAGTTGAATTACTTCTCCAAGAATGAGTAGGTTTGGTTTTGTGTCCGGGCTCTAGGAGAAATTTTGTGTCATGACGTAAATTGACACCACGGCTGAAAGAGTTAAGCCTGTTTATTTTGTTAATGTTTGCAGGGCCGCCTGATGTTTCGACGGCTCATTTAGCGTTTTGCGTGAAAACGACCATACGACTTGGCTGCGTGTGATTTGTTGCAATAGGGGCAAGGACCACGGGGCGTGGTGACGCAAACGATAAGCGCTGCGTCTGCTTATCTCTGTCATGAGCCGCTGCTACGGAAGAATGTTTGCGCACGTGACGTGGAGACGTCGGATCATGCGCGCGTAGTTGCACAAGTGTGAATATCGCGCTTTTTTCTTTATTGTTCATATTGCTATCATCGGCATCTGTACTAAGCGGAAGAAGAGTAACACTTAATCGATAGAAAATTAGCAAGTGTCTAATCAAATGTTTTGGGTATTGATCTACGACTTCCTCACCAATATTTCTCACCTAGTATTGTTGCTTCAAGAAGTTAGTTAATTTTACGTGCTAATTAATCAATTAAGAGACACCCAAGAATAGTGTGCCTTGATCCATGCAATAATCAGCAATATTCATTTGGCCCGATCATCACTGATTGCGGCATCATGTTTTAAACCCTCACTACAGTTGGCTTGTGCGCCTTGTCAATCAACTGGTATTTTCACAACAAAACCAGGCCAGTAGTACCCCCGCACACAGTATGCCTGCGTTACGGTATCCTTAGCTCAGCTTTCTGACTTTCCATAAAATAAATTGATTGAAATTTGGCGCCACTTAGCGGCATTAATTTTTGTCAAATTGTTCATGGCTCAGGAGAAAAGCTCTCGGATCCTCACCTTCTGGCGGGCTCGCGCGAGGGTCATCAGGTTTAACTCACGCTTACCAATCGGGATTACTACCGCAGGCGTTTCGAAATTTCATTTTTCCTTACATTACCGTGTTTTCAATGAAGCTCTCCATGAAGAACTCGTTCCCAGTATAGAGGAATATTGGTCCACTCTTGCTGTCCCAGAACTGATCGGCGATGGCGTAGCGCATATCGAATGTCTCGTTGTTATGAAATCCGAAATGGTCAACCTGAACAACAAGAAAACATCTGCACGACACAATAGAAGATAGGGCCATTCCGAAGGCGCGTGCTATTCTATTTTTTTCTTTCTTCTGCGTCGTTAAGCAATCAGAACATTTCGAAACAATGAATGCGTGCAACCATAAGTCATGTTTGTTCTATTGTTTGTTCTATTCTTCGTTTGTTTGTTTGTTTGTTTGTTTGTTTGTTTGTTTGTTTGTTTGTTTGTTTGTTTGTCCGACCAATCAACCGACCAACTGACTGATTCTGTTTTCTTGCTATTTTTTTGTTTGTCCGTTTGCTTGTTTACGGTAGAAACTTAGACACATTGAAGTGCCACAGAAAAAAAAAGGCGGGGAACGTACTTGCAATAACATAATTTGCAAACTTAGCGCAGGTGTATATATGGGTAGCTAATGTTCATGTTTACGCTGATGTGGTGTACAAGTAAATCGCTCGGCTAAACGATCTCGCCAATTCCTGGTTTAAAATTTCGTTCAGTGCACCACTTGGTAATCTGTTTGATTTTTGGGTAGTATTGAGAAAACAGATATACTTAACATCGTATAGTTCATCAATTTTTTTTATTTCGAGGCCACTCATCAGTCCAGCATTATTCGATTCGTGTACATTAAAGTACTTCTGAACCCATCAAAGTTTTGGTAAATAAGCCTGATGTCCAAGGTGTAACTTTTCTTGATGTGTAGACCCTTCAGAGACTTGTACATATTGAAATTGGGTAGGATAACAGACATAATTTAACAAATCAATAACGTAACTTCGAGCTTAAAACACAAAGTATCTTAACAACTTGTGTCTGCAGAAGAATCACGGGTAATCTACGACTAGAAACTGCAATTTTATCTTTTCTTAGGTGCCTGCCCTTCTTGCGTTTATTTTAGCCGTGCTGTTGGAATTAACGAACCTCACATGCTGGGTAATATATTCGGCCTCCTCCTGCCCTACTGGTCACTGTAGGCGCTTCAATGCCGAAGTCCTTCAAAAATTCGTATTTTCATGATTCATGCTCGGCAAAACTACCCCCCTTGCCCCGCCGCGGTGGTCTAGTGGCTAAGGTACTCGGCTGCTGACCCGCGGGTCTCGGGATCGAATCCCGACTGCGGCGGCTGCATATTTAATGGAGGTGAAAATACTGTAGGCCCGTGTACTCAGTTGTGGATGCACGTTAAAGCACCCCAGATGGCCGAAAGTTCCAGAGCCCTCCACAACGGCGTCTCTTATAATCATGTCATGGTTTTGGGATGTTAAACCACACATATAATTTTTTACTGTGAAAGCTGTCATGAGATCACAACTCTGGTCTCACCCAGCGCCATAGTTGTTCGTCGCGCCGCCGGTGTTCACATCCACATCGCGCGAAATTAGCAAAAAAACCTAGTACCCATGACACAGTGAGGGTCAAACTTGGGTCTGCTGGGTGGCAGCCCAGTATTACACCACAGAGGCATGTCGGTGCTTAGGACCTGTTGGCAAACTTGCCTTATGCAGGCTTGATGTCGGGAAAGCAATCGCGTTAAAACGACTTATAAAGCGTTTTAAAACAGCGAAAGAACAATCAGTCGTCGCACAATGTGAGCGAAAAAAACAAGCTGTCGTCGCAAAATGTGAATAGCAAAACGAGTTAGTCATCCAATGCTTCAACCCTTTACAAAATCTTGTTTTTGTTCGGCTATTAACTGTGGCGCATATTCACTTCGGGCATAATTCCTCATCGTCATCAGCCACTGCATGAATAATTGGCACAAAATTCTTCAAAACAGTTTAGCGGACACCACGCTTTTCAGAAGACGAAAAATAGCATAGTGAATGCTAGCCTACAACCCTAACATATTTTTATTATTAATGCCGTAGTGGGCATCAAGGAAGTGTGCTTGCAGCACTTACCCAATGAGTGTTTAGAAAAGGCTCTGAAAGGCCGCTCTTCTAGCTTTCACTGTGACTGTGCAGTGCCTTCTGCGCATGCCTCGGGTTTTTTTTACAGCGAAAGCTGTTATGAGATCACAACTCGGGTCACGCACAGTTGTCCGCCTCCGCCACTGCTGCCGCCGCCGGCGTCCGTAACCACATCGCACGAAATTATGAAAAAAAGCCTAGCACCAAAGACAAAGTGGAGCTCGAAACATGGGTCTGCAGGGTGCCAGCCCAGTATTCTACCACTGAGGTACGCCGGTGCTTGTGACTTGTTGGCAGACTTAGCACCAAAGACACAATGGGACTCGAACCCGGGCCCGCTGGGTACCAGCGCAGTATTCGACCACTGAGCCACGCTGGTGCTGACGGCTTGTCGGCAGACTTGCCTTAGGCAGGCTTGATGTTTGGAAAGCAATCGCGTTGATACGACTTATAAAAAGTTTCAAATAAAGCGTTTTGAAACATCGAACAACCAGTCGTCGCACAATGCCAATAGCTTAACGAGTGTGCCGTCTAATGCTTTAACCCATTACAATAGCTTCTTGTTCCCCTAATAACTGTGGCGCATACCCACCTCAGTCATAATTCCTCATCGTCGTCAGCCACTGCATGAACAATCGGCACGAAATTCCTTGCAAGTGTTTAGAGGGTGCCACGCTTCTCAGGAAGAATTACAAAAAATAGCGTAGCGAATGTTGGCCTACCACCCAAAAGTTTATTATTAATGCCCTAGTGGGTATCAAGCAAGTGTCCTTGCCGTAGTTGCCCATTGAGTATTTTGAAAATGCTCTGAAAAGCCGCTCTTCTAGCTTTCACTGTGACTGTGCTGCGCCTTAGGCGCAGGCCTGGTGATTCGCTGCTGTAAACAATTTGCCCAAATTTTTACGTTGGTCATTAAGTAAGCTCGTCGACGTGTGTTCCTACCTTTGTTCTGAAGACTCGCTCCTTGTACGGTCCAACCTTCGCCGCTGTGCCAATGAATATTGTGGCTATCAGCACACTGCCAGCCCACACTGCATGCATCTCTGGTTTCTACTGCTACAGCGCTGTGCGCACAGGGGTAAACTGACTATCGTGGCCAGTGGAGTTGTGTTTTGTCAAAGTTATTGCGCTTTAAACGCAGCAGAGGTAAAGGAATGGAATCGGGGAAGGAGGAGGGACGGCGTGAGGAGGGAGGGGGGGAGGCGAATGCGGTTCTCGGTGGAACAAAGTGGTCAATCTGAACGCGGGCACGACCTTGTCCGAGACGCCGGTATCGGTGTGGCCATCGCTTCCGTAGGGGTGTGCACTCTTTCATGGCTCTCTTCATTTCGCGTGATACATATCCTCAGAGGATGCCGTTATCAGCCTTTGCTGGTGGCTTTTTCATTTCTCTTTGTTTTTTGCGTGAAAGACTCTCGCGAGTTCGCCTGCACTCCCCTCCTTGAGATGGTCAGTTACAAGCTTAGAAGTGTGGCAGTTTGGGCTAGTTGGTATGACATGACGATAGTTATAGCGCGAGAACAGAACGGCGACAAAGGGACAAGGACACGAGCGCTCGTGTCCTTGTCTGTCACCGTTCTGTTCTCGCGCTATAACTATCGTCATTACAAGCTTGAGCCCAGGTTAGCTGTAATTGGAAAAGATTATGCAATAAGAGCGTGATAAGCACACTGTTAGACTTTAATCAGTGTGGCATAACAGGTCTAGTACTTGTTTTAAGCTTAGTCTCCTTTTATTAAGCGCGGAAGCGTTACCGTGTGCTTTCTTGATACGACCACAGGTCGGCTCGGAATATGGGCAACTACTCGTTTAAGGATGGAGTCGCCCTTGAGACCAGTCTTTCACTGCACCAAACTACAGTGCCCTATTTATGGACCAATTCATCACGTTTCAAACTGTAGTGCGCATTAAATTCCAGAAACTAGGTCTCAACCGGTCCACAAAACACTGTTTTGTATTCTTTTCCAAAACGTGCTGAAGAACAACACTTATAATTCGCCACAATCCTTTCTCCATTATCTTGGTGCTTATTTTTGTTGCATAAGTGCACAGATAAGAACAGAGACGCGGTGTTCCAAATTTAATCGTTGCTTTTTGTTACCAAGTGTTGCGATTCGCATGACCGCACAAGTGTAGGCATGGTACTCAAAAATTTCCTTCGACTGTCAATTTATTTGCAGCGTCTTCCGAAAGGCTGGAGCCAAGTGGTAAAAAATCTACCACCCCATTTCTGTTAGCATCATGAGCACCGAAGTTTTTCTTCATGAAATAATTTCTTACGATGTAAAACTACAAAATTAAAGCTGTATTTCTACTCCACTGCATAAATCTCTCGTCGGGCAAAGCGAAGACGACGACAGGTTGCCATCTTCTTGATCAATACCATTAAAAAAGATCAATATCATCGTTTTATAACGTCCTTTCATAACTGTTCTATATGAACTAATTAGTTTAATTGGTTAATTAGTTTAAGGGTTTGTTTTGTTAGACTGAATATTAATAAAAACTAAGACAATGACGCTAAGGAAAGAGTAGGAGATATTAGTAATCTTAGTGTAAACATGGAAAAGAGAAGTGGGAGAAAATATAACTTGCCGCTTTGTGAGCACTGCTAATCTTTTCGTTTGTGTTTTCAGGCCTCCCCCCCCCCTTTTTTTTTACCAAACTTTTTTGCAAGATCCCACTGCTGCTCGATTTGTGGCTGATCTCCCGTGGGTCGAGAGCCACTCCTCCGAACCAACCAAGGGACTGAACTTGCGACCTTCGAATAACGCGTCCGATGCTCTCCCATTGCGCTACGGCAAATCAGTGGTGTAGGGCCCTCATTCGTACCACGGGTCTCGTTCTGACAGGCTTTGATGCCTGCAGGCGAAGAAATATTGGTAAGCTGCCAGCTCGTATTGATTAAAATCTCGTGCTACGTGACACCAACAGGCAAAAAGACAGTTTCACACTTGCTGTTAGAGCAACAGGCGGCGCTGACTGACGCTCCCACGTTTAAATGCATATGTATAACCCATAAAAGGGACCGGAGGATGACCGCCACCGTAGCTCAGTGGTATCGGACGCGTTATTCGAATATCACAGGTCGGGAGCCTGCGGGTAGCAAGATATCATTTCGCCTAATAAGCCGCACTCATTGCAATGGTCAACGAGTGTAGATCGTCGATATTCTGTTAGGGTGTGTTTGTGCTATCTTAATCTGATGTTAATGCATCAGCCGCAGCAGCTAATGTGATGGAAGCAAAGCCGTGCGTAAACTGTGGCAACAGCTCATGCCGAAGCTGCCGTGACGGCGAAGTATAACGCGCCAAATTCAAAACAGTGCCACCTCACAACCATTTGCGTCATTAAATACGTCATAAAATACTTAGTGAGCGTGCTCTTCCCTCGAAGGATGCCTCAAAAGGTGCTTCTCATAGACGTATCAACTGAGTTTGTAGCCATGCGGTGTCCAAAGAAGGTCTGCACATCAGAAGAAAAGGCTGCTTACCGCGAGGCTCGGCGTGCTGCAGATTGAGAATGAGATCAAGGGCGACGTTTAGACCCTGCTTATGTGGCCATGGAAGCGATTGCTGCCAAACAACGAGTCGAGGATTCGGGGTATGCATATGAAGAAAGGATGAGGGACACAGAAAGGCAACAAGCCAGGCACAGTCAACGTGGAGTTGGGCCAGCCGAGTACGACCGGCGAAAGGCCCGTGCGAGCACCCAGGGAGCCGATCCTACATTTGCAGGGGAGTTTTGAGTCCTTCTGTTTGTAAACTCATTCTAAGCGTATTAACGACTACGGAAGGGTTGACAGGCGGGCTAGTTGGTACAAATTCATAATGAAAAAATTGGAAACGCAAACCAACGGGACACAAGAGAAGAGACAAACAAGCGCAGACTGAAACTCAGTTTATTCAGAGAAGAAATTATATACCAGAAAGATGAGAAAGGGAAACAACTGGAGAGAAGGTTCCAGCATGATCAGGTGTTGGCTTGCGCTTCCAATTTTTTCATTGTGTATTGTCGACTAGCAGCAGCAGCAGCAGCAGCAGCAGCATTCAAAACGCCCCTTGCTTCACTGCTTTCAAGCCTTGCACAACTTAGCGCCATCTTCAATTTTTTTATTACAACAGCGTGAGAAATGGCAATTTAGAAAAGTAAAAAGTTTACACTCCTCGAGTATATCTTAACAGCCAAGCTGGTCGATCTCAGGGTTTTAATAACAGGCGTGCGCACGAGGGGAGGAATAGGGCAGAGCGGCCACCTCCGTGATCTCCTAAAAGGGAGGGAGGGAAAGGGCAAAATTTAGCCTCTCATATTGACGTAATACGTCGGGAAGGGTGGTGCTGTGGCTCGGGGGGTGGGGGGGGGGGGCAAAGTCAACGCCATGCATTGACAAAGTAAGAAGGAAGGGCGCTGTGCCGAACCTTCGCCTCCCCCCTCCCCCCCCCCCCCCTAAAGGGGAACCCTACGTATGCTTATGAGTTTAATGTGACCTTCTTGACTGATTCTAGGTCTTTCCTTGGCATGGACCGAATTTCCGAACTCCAGCGCCAGAAACTCGCGTGAAATCCTGGCTGTGGCACGCCAGGTCGAAGCACTGGCCTTTCGTTGCTCTTGCTCGGCTCTCGCAGGACAGGTGACTGTGCGGACTGTTCCCATGAGTGGGCGTGGATTAGCGGTGGCTGCTATCCGGCGCATGCGCAGCTAGGCGAGATCAAACCCAGGTGGTGCGCAGCTGCGGCTTAGTTATTGCTGAGCAACGGCGCAGAGGGTTTTCCACAAACTGCAGACGTTTTACATCCTACTTTCAGAGCTTCGCTTTTAAAAGATTATCAATCCTAATAAAAGAGTCGTTTGAATATTCTTTTATTAACTGTTTGGGTCTAACGTCTTAAAACCACAATATTATGAGACGCCGTAGTAGAGGCCTCCGGAAATGTCAACCTTTCTTATAGGTGCCCGAAATCCATGTGCACGGGCCTTCAGAACTTCAGTCGAAAATGCGGCCGCCTTGACTGCGGTTCCATCCCGCAAACTTGGGGTGAGCACTCGAGCACCATCACCATTAAACCACTGTGACGGGTGAAGTCGCATTAAATAAATAGCTACACTCACTGGCACGTCTACTTTCAAACTAAAATCAAGATCCGATGTTGGCCACGAGCTGATTATGAGGCACGCTGTAGGAGAGGACACCAAATTCTTTCGGACCACCCAGGGATTTGATGGTGGTAAGACAATTACGCCTTTTCACAAGGCCCATGAGAAGTAGAAAAACCAGACTGCTGCACATGCAACGCGCTGGAGGTTGACGTAGGTCAAACGACGCCTGGACATGACTGCAGGCTCGGCGGCGCCCAGCAGGAGCGCTCTGCTGTCCACCTTCAGGAAGAAAAGGTCGTGAGTCTGCACCACCGTCGCCCTGCGCGCGTGCGTCGAGAGATGCAAAGTTTCATTTAACTAAAAAAATGTCTCTGCGTGCACATGCGATTCTTTACGTTTTGTAAGCGTGCATGTACTGGCCCACATTGAAACACACACAAATAACAAGCAAATCCTCTATTTCTTTTCATACCAGTGCAAACACTCGCTCTTCAATGGGTATGGTCACTTCGTAATGCTTTTCTCGGTCGATGAATAGATGTACTCCCTATTCTGGAACCCCATTGGCTTGAGACCCGGTCTTTGCGCGTGACATCAGGGTCTTTTCGACTGCCTGATATAGGTCCACCCCATTCTCTACTCAAATCATCGGACATAGCGTATTCTTTTTGCACTCCCATGCCATTTGGTAGACTTTGTAAGTAGGTTAGTGTTCCATAACCTGCAGGGTCGATTTTTAAGTGCGTGTGGGTTGTAATAACGTTTTTAAGCAGCGCCAGTTGTGCGGCCTTACCAGAGTTGAGGATCTAGATGGGTGTACGTATTCAGTGCAATCTTGTGGTTTTGTAGTATTTTAGGATACCTGGTTAGGTTGGTCAAAAGATCTGGGTGTATTGGAAGTCCCAGCGCTGAAATTAGGAGTATCAAGTTGAGTGCTCCGGCAT